GCAGAGAGTTGCTCTCAGGAAGTTGACTATCAGACATTTTAATGGGGGGCAGGGAAGCATCTCTATTGTGGTTAATGGAGAGTAATTTAGTTTAGTGAATATCGGTAATTTTCGTATTTCCTTGTTCATTTAGGAATTTTTTTAAATTCGCGAAAAAGCCAAATCTCACACAGTTGGGGCTAAGTATCGTAAATAGGGTGAATGCCCTATTTTCATAATCACTTCTTCTAATGCGCAATAAGATAGCATAATAAAATTTAAAATCTATATATAAAATTGTCTGACTTCCGTTAGTCCGCCCATCCTTCCATCACACCGTCTAAAGGCTTGCATTATATTGACCGATCCATACCAAATTTTGTGGATAAGTGCAAACAAGTAATTTGGTACAAAGTACAACTGCATAGCTTAGTACAATATTTTTTTAAAAACAATGATTAAAATAACAAATACTTATTTAACAAGTATACAATATTGTTTTTTTTTTCTGCAGATACTTTCTTTGAGTTTTTTAAATATACAATAACCAGTTGTGCAAATTAATTTAACAAAACGAATAATTCCGTTTTTTTCGCATTTTTCCAATGAAATGTGACATGTGCTCCAGTGAACATGTTAGTACTTCGTATGTGCATTCCACAAAGTCGTTCTATGCAGGCTGAGCACAGGTTCTCAATTGGATTTAAATCAGGAGAGTTTCCGGGTCAGTCTATACTACTTTGCTCATTGGTAAAGCTTGTTCGTGCAGCGTTACAATTTCCGTAAGCTTCCTTGGAGTAAAGTCCATCGCAGAGAATGGTTATAGTACATCTAATCAAAAGTCGAGACAATAGTGTCTGGGAGTGACAAAAATCACGGATGATGCAATATTTTTCAAGGCCAAACAAATTTTATCATGCACCTAACAAGAATGACCTGTTTAATGTTTACTTCTACCACTGTAACAAGATTAAATTGTGAACAGTTATAGGATTCTATTTAAAAGCGCTAAGAATCTGCAGTCTCCAATACTTACCTAAAAAAGAAATATTAGGTTGTCCCAAAAGCTCGTAAACACTTGCAAAAAATTGAAATTTTACTTGCCAAGTAATAACAAAAACAACAAAAATTATTCCTTGAAATAAAGACCATCATTTTCCAAGACTTTCTGCCATCGATCTGCAAGCTTTCGGATCTGGTGAAAGTTCCATTCAGCCGGCTTCGAATCAAAGAATTCTTGACATGCTTCCTCGACTTCATCAAACGAGTTGAATCGGCGGCCCTTCAGAAAGTGTTGCATTGAGCAGAAAAGGCCGTAATCTGATGGAGCACAGTCAGGACTGTAGGGTGGATGTGGCAGAACATCAACACTGTCCAGCTCTTCAAACTTGTCTTTGGTCTTCTTGGCGTTGTGTGGCTTGGCATTGTCCTGCTGCATCAAAGCGCGCTTTCGGTTGATCAGAGCCGGGTACTTTTGCTTCAACTTTTCGTAGACCCGCTCCAGTTGCTGACAGTAAAGTTCGGCACTGATGGCACGACCATTCGGAACCAACTCAAAATGCACGATTCCTTCAAAGTTCCACTAAACGCACAACATGACTTTCTTGCCGAATCGATCTTGTTTTGGAACCGACGGTGTCTCTTGCCCTTTCTGAACCCATCGCGTGTCTCGATTCTGCTGGATTGTGTTGCATAAAAATTCAATTTTTCGCAAGTGTTTACGAACTTTTGGGACAGCCTAATATACAAAGAAAACATTTTTAAAATCTCCAATATCTTTATTTATTCATTCTCAACGCTAAAAGGTCATACAAAATATACAAGCACAACAGAAAACAAAATTATTGGTAAATGATAAACTAGATAAAAACAGATACCTAAAAACTCTGTAATATCCGCTCTCCAAAACAATCAATTCAATGTGAACAAAATGAAAATAATTATAACTATATATATAACTATGACAGATATGACCAGAAACAAAGATACACACGACAATAATAATTCCTAAGTAGGTATATATAAAATAAATTTATAGAACTATTTCTCACTATACATTGGGGAAACTTGCAGAAATTTTAAAAAAAAGTTTTGATTAAAGTAAAAGGGATCTTACACACAACAATATATAAAAGGCTTTATTTATACATAGAAACAAATTCACCCAAAACTTTGACCGAGAGAATGCCAGACTTATTAAAAAGAAACTACTAGACTTATAAGGAAAATTCTTCAAAATGCCGCTATCGAATCTTATCTAGATATAAATCTGCGTCTGGGATTCTTCCCAATATAACCATTCCTCTGTTGATTCGTTTTCTATGGCTTATCAACAAAGAAGGAATTATAATGTGGATATAAAGTGGGGGATCAATTCTATATTACGATCAATATATAAACTGATCCTTAAATTTGTGGCCATGGCATTTCTATACATTTCTATTCCAGAGAATGTAAATAAATCTAAAAGACATGCCTGTGTCGCTAATCAGTATTTCATTGAATGATTGATTCGTTTTCTACGGCTTATTACCAAACAAGAAATTATAATGTTGATATAAAGTGGGGGATCAATTCCATACTAAAATAAAAAAAAAACAGATCCCTCAATTTGTGGGCACGGTTGTTCCTATCCATTTCTATTCCAGAGAATGTAAATAAATCTAAAAGACATGACAGTGTAGCTAATCAGTATTTCATTGATTGATTAGTTTTCTACGGCTTATCAACAAATAAGAAAGTATATGTGGATATAAAGTGGGGGATCAATTCAATATTAAAATCAATATATACACTGATCCCTCACTTTGTGACCATGGTAGTTTCTATAAATTTCTATTCCAGAGAATGTAAAAAAAAATCTAAAAAACATGTCAGTGTCGTTAATCAGTATTTCATTGAATGAATCGTTTTCTACGCCATATCAAATTAAAATGTGGATATAAAGTGAGGGATCAATTCAATATTAAAATTAATATATGAATTAATCCCTCAATTTGTGGCTACAGTAGTTTCTATACATTTATATTCCAGAGGATGTAAAAAATCTAAAAGATATGCCTGCGTATCTAATCAGTATTTCATTGATTTCATTTTGATTGATTCGTATTTTACGGCTTATCAACCTTTTGCAGGTTATTTAAAGCCAGAAAATATTTACAATTTTTATAAATCTTTTGGAGATATAATCATTTAGTGATACATGCCTTACTAATTAACCCATAAACGGGGGAAATGTGAATTCCCAAGTTAACGATACCGGCTGTAATTAAAAGTTTGCTCTCCGATTAAAAATTCTGAGCCCTCCAAACGCACATCCGAGCTTACAATATATTGTATTCCCAAGCGGCCACCAATATAAGTACTGCCCGAGCACGACGTTGCTTAACTCCGTTTATCGTACGGGAAGCTGTGTGTCAACATGATGCGTGGCCGTAAGTCACAAATGGTCAATACGCCGTAAAAAAAAACAAAAAAAAACAATGTTAATTTGTACTTCCACAATTGTATTGTAGTCGAGCGTTTGATTTCATTTTACTGGTTAAAAGTTAGAATGACGGAGCAAATATTTCTTGTATTTGCTTTTAGAGACGGCTTTGTCCGCCATTTTTTTTTTCTTTTTCGAGTAAGTACAAAAGATGAATTAAATTCACCACTTTCTTCGGCTACCGACCAAAGTCCTATAGGCTTTTTTTTTTTTTCGCTCTCCTTCACTTTCGATCCGTGGTCCGATGCCAAAGCTACGACCACGATCGTTATGTTTCCTCGTTCAAAAGCTACTCAGACCTATCAGAAGAGGTCTTCTTGCTATGATTGGAGAGTCAGTCTACACGTCAAACTGCAGGAATATTTTATGATTGATATATTATTAATGTTATTAGGTGAGCTTCTTTTTCTTTTCTTTTCTTTTTTTTTTTTTTTGTTGGCTACTCTCAAGTTCTTATTCAACTCGTTTCTTTTTTCTCTGTTGCTTCTGATAGCTTTCAGATTTTATCTATTTATTTTACTTATCGTCCCTCCTTGTCAAAATGGCGCCCGTTCAACTTCTCAATAGGAGAAGCGGGAAAAACGTCCAATAAATTGTTAGAAACAAATTTAAAAGAAAGAAGAAATAAAAACAGGGAAAATGTGGGGACAAAAGGGAAAATGATGAGATATCAATAGAAAAAAAGAAAAAATATATTTTCTTTCCCGCTATGCTGGTGAAAATGGAGAAAATAAGACAAATAAATAACGGAAAAAAAGGAAAACAATTGGTAAGAATCTTTATAAAAAAAAACGATAGACCTTAACAAAGAAGACATATGGTGAAAGCGACAAATGAAGATTTAGTTCGAGGTTTATTATAATTTAAAGAACGACTTTAATTTACAAGTCACAATCATATATATATATATATATATATATATATATATATATATATATATATATAGATAGATAGATAGATAGATAGATATATGCGTGCATGTGTGTGTATATAAATAATTATTTTTTTAAATATGATTCATTCGCTACATAAGAGTTCTCATGTTTTCAAAAACGAGAGTCGAAAACCATAAATATAATTATTAAAATTAAATCAGGGCTTGTTACTTTAATTCAATTTAATTTTAATAATTATAATGATATTTTCGGCTCTCGTTTTTGAAACATGAGAACTCTTATGTAGCGAAGGAATCATATTTTTTTAAAAATAAGTCTAATCTAAGCTATACTTCTGTATGGAGCATTGTTTATTAAAAAAAAACAAAAGTACTAAAGAACCCTGTATTATTTACCTAACGTGTTCTTTTTTCCTTTTTTTCATACCTACACACACACACACACACACACATATATATATATATATATATATATATATATATATATATATATATATATAAAGCCTGGTACTTTGGTATATATCTAGAGAATCTTGAGAGAATCCAAAGAAGAATCTGCAATGTTATCGGTCCTGACCTGGTAACTCATCTTCAGTTACCTGTGAATTCTCTATAAGCACAATTACATGCAAACATCACGTTGAAACATCGGTTCGCGTACGATCAGAGAAGTTAAGCAACGTCAAGCCTGGTCAGTACCTAGATAGGCGAGAGCTTGGGAATACCGGATGTTGTAAGCTCGGATGTGATGGTGATGATTCGGAATTGTTAAAAAGAGAGCCTAGTTCCAATTCCCATTGGATTCGTTATATTCCCTTGCACGCAAATACCCTTAGAAAAGGTATGATTCCGGGTATTATTCTACGCCCACAACTATGGGTTAAGTAGTAAGACATGTATTACTAAAACCATAATTATTTAAACAAAACAAAAAAAAATACGGAAAAAACATCTTACATTCTAAAAATAAACATTTTTCTTCAGGTTTTAAATAACATGCAAAGTGTTGACAAACCATAGAAGACGAACCAATCAATCAATTAGTAAAATTATTTTGATAGTAATTGTTTTGGTACCTTGAATTTACTGATTTAAGCTCAGTACTTACAGGGGGAGACACGGTGGAGTAATGGATAGCGGCTTGAATTGAAGAGAGCCGAGTTCGAATTCCGGTCATATCCATTATATTCACTTACGTGTTAATACCCTTTGGAAATGTATGAACCCTTTTCTTCTCCCCACGAAGCTATCAGGAAATAGCAGGACAGATTGTTCTGTAACCTTGGATGCAGAAATAAATGACAACCTACTGCGGGAAAATTCTGCCACGTCAGTCATGTATAGAAAGATACATGATCGCCTAAGCGTGTATTACGAATGTCACATGACTGACTGAACAATTAGGTCTCATCATTTTAAAACTGAAGTTAATGGATTGAAATGTTCAGAGAAGAATATGTAATGTTCTCGTACCTGAGTATCACTGGAGCTTTTTCAATAAATATCTTGGAAATGTTTTAATGAACATTCTTTTCCGGTATATCGACTTATCAAATTTCCAGTCAAGTTTGATTTGCAAAAATATAAATGCAATATCAATCGTTATCTTCTAAATACTTGAAAACTGTTCTTTTATTTATTTTTTTTTTCTCCTTAATAAAGTTTTTTTTTTTTTTTCTCAGAAATTTTCACTCTGAGTAAATCCTTATACCTTAGTGGCTTGGTGTGAAATAATTAAAAATAATCAAAAAAAAATAATAATACAAAGCGTCATTGTAGTATTTTAAAAAATGTATCTTAGTAGGTGTGGGGGAAGATGAACATTCAACAAGGCGCCTTGTTTTTCGCATTGCTCTCGAGACAAACTTCTCGTCACTGTCCGTCACTTGGTGTTTTTGCTGGTAGTGACCACTGTATTATAGAGTACATTGTTCATTGTCTTGTCATCTTTGTCCCAAAAAAGTAATTTATCTTCATTCAGTAACCTACTTTGTGAGAACCGCTTTCCATTAACTAGGAAAGTTATTGAATTTGTATTTTTGAAGATGGAAACTGACTGCAAAGAACCGATAGTGTGTTCTATAAGCAAGAAATACTAGAAACAAAAATGATAGCTTAGAACTTACAGTTATATCTAGCCACTTCATCAGTGAATTAACCTTCTTGACAATCAAGTAATGTACTTAAATTTATAAAGTCTACGTAAGATAACGAAAATTTCATCCGAACAATTACCATGAAAATATTTATTCAAAAGGCACAGGTATGGCATTGGGAAAATGGCTAAAGCCGAGATGCCAGGCTAGGACCAATAATACGAACGACTCTTCTTTGGATTATATCAACGCAACGACCTTGACACTGATTTAACATTCTACCTCGATAACCGCTATGAGAGACGGAGAAAAGAGAAAGGGTAAAAGAAAGAAGGAAAAAAGGCAGAGAGAGATGAGAAAAAGGTAGACAGAGAAGAAAGAAAGAAAAAAAGAAAAGGAGAGAGAGAGAAGTAAAAGGGAGAAAGAGAAGAAAGAAGAAAGAGAGGAAAAGAAAGAAAGGGACAAAGAGAAAAAAGGGGGAGCGGAAAAGTGGGAGAAGAGGGAAAGGGATAGAGACAAAAGGGAGGGAGGGGGTAGGAAAGAGAATAAAATAGCAAATAAAAAACAAAAAGAAAATGGAGGATGTATCACAAACATTATCACAATAATTTTATAACACTATCTTTGTTTCTGCAATATTTTCAAAGAATATTTGACTTGTGGATTTATATAAAGCTCCCCTTTTAATAATCCGAAATCCTTCTATAATAACTCCTTCAAAAACAGTATAATAAAAAAAGAGCCGACAAAAGCATTCTGAAGAATTTACCGTTTAAGTTAGTTTCTCTTATAATACGTCTGTCATTTATTCCTGTATATGACTAATACATTTGGTAAATTGTTGTTCATAACGCCATATTTATGTTTGGTTTGGTTTCTTGTGTTTTGCGGTATATCAACCTCAATGGGTTATTTAATGCCGACAACATTTTTAGGATAGATTCGTATGAATAGAATATGTATTCTTAGGTTTACAGAGGTTTGGTTTATTTTGTTTTACGGCATATCAACCTTAATGGGTTATTTAACGCCGACAACTTTTTTTTTCCTGGCAATATTTTGTTTTGTCAAAAATCTAATTCTGGTAATATTTTTTTCCTTAAAACTGCATTGCTGGTAATATTATTTTAAAACATGTACTGCTGGTATTTTTTTTCCAAAATCGTATTGATGGTAATATTTTTTTTTCAAAAATATATTGCTGGTAATAGTTTTTTTTTTTTTTTCTCTTCAAAAACTTATTTTTGGTAATAATATTTTACAAATTATTTCTGGTATTAAAACCTATATTTACACTTTTATAATGCTTTTTGCCTCAGTTTCGGGGTTAACTATTTGACTATAGCTGGGAGCGTAACAGGTGCGACCACCCCGGGTCAGGGTGGATCTGGGAACACCAACAATTAAGAGCTGGTTCCACAATACTCAAAACCTCCTGATCAGAGGCCTTGCTGTTGGATGTAGTTAATCGTCTTACCCAGGACACGGATGTATTTTATCGTCATAGCCAGGACGGTTATATTTAGGTAAATATTTCTCGGACTAAAATAATATAGATAATAATTACATTACTAAAAAAAACATCACCAATAAAAACATTTACACGCTTTTGTTTGTCAGACATAAAGTTGCATCACTCAGCATCTTCCATAATTTATCTCGACTTCTCAGTTAGCCTGTTATATATTTATTGTGATTTTCTAAGTGCGTCTTAACGGGACAGACAGTGAGGGTCAAAATCACTGTTCAGCCGTAAAGAAAAGCTAGCTAAACTTTACACCCCGTCTAGGTGGACCTGGTGTATATTCATGTACGTTCTTAATATAAAAAAAAATTGAAAACATTTTTACTTCTGTTTATAAATAGTTGTCGCAACAAATCTTATCACTTGCCTTGAAAAAAATCCCTCAGAATACGTAATTTTTCTTTAATCATATTTCACTTTGACAGATATTTTTTAGTTATAGCCGAATATTTACACACACATTTAACAGATACGTAATACAAATATATATATATATATATATATATATATATATATATATGTATGTATGTATGTGTGTGTGTGTCTGCATTTATATCTAATACATATATATATATATATATATATATATATATATATATATATATATATTAAAGCACCAAGAAAATTAAAATGGATTTTCCTTAATGAAAGCAACTCATAATATATAGTAATCCACAGACAGACTGTTAAGTTGTATCGCAGCTCATCAGTGTGGCTAGACGTCTGGTTGTCTCTAGCTAGGATCGAAACCCGACTGAATTGGCGTAACTCGAGGATTCTAACGCTAAGCCGTTGGTGCACGTGAATTTAAGCGTATTTATGTTTAGATAAACACACAGTGACTGAGAGAACTCGATTCGATTTACCTAAGTTTCTTGCATTATTAGCTTATTATAAAGTCACTGTTTCCAAAAACCCACACTTCCACAGACAGACTGTTTCGCTGTATCACAGCTCATCAGTGTGGCTAGACGTCCGGTTGCCTCAAAATATATATATATATATATATATATATATATATATATATATATATATATATTGACTCTCAAGCCTTGTGAGTGAAGTTGGGTAGACGGCAGGGAAGCCTTGGTGGCCGGCGATGGCTGTGTTAACATGAAGTCACAAGTCATCGTGACCGAGCGTTTGAGCGAACTGGCCATGGTCAGATTGATAAGCACGCTAGATAACACGCTCTCTCCCAGAAACTGTAACTAAGGTCTGCTCAGCATAGTTGCACTAAAAAACACAGGTAGGTTCTGTGCCAGCCACTCTTTTAAAAAGGCAAAACCTTATAAAAATCACAACAGGAAAAATTAGCAATAAATTAACATTATATTTCTGGACCCAAAGAACATTTTTAAATCAGAAACAAAAGTCTTGTGTCCTTACTTACATATTAAGAAATTCCTCTCAAGCCAAAAAAACACCCTTCTTCTTCTTTATCATCATCATCATCATCATCATCTTTTTTTTCTCCTTTTTCTTGTATGCATTCCTCTTCTTGTTGTCTGTGAGTCTATTTTTATTCTACTACTGTATATTTCGTCAGTGTTCTGTCTTCATCTTCCCGGGCTTCTTCTTCTTCTTCTTCTTCTTCTTCTTCTTCTTCTTCTTCTTCTTCTTCTTCTCTTCCTCCTCCTCCTTCTTCTTCTTCTTCTTCTTTTTCTTTTTTTTCTCCTCCGCTTCCTCCTCCTCCTCCACCTCCTCCTTCTTCTTCTTCTTCTTCTTCTTCTTCTTCTTCTTCTTCTTCTTCTTCTTCTCCTCCTCGTCCTCCACCTCCTCCTCCTTCTTCTTCTTCTCCTCTTCTTCCTCCGACTTCTTCTTCTTCTTCTTCTTCTTCTTCCTCCTCCTCGTCCTCCACCTCCTCCTTCTTCTTCTTCTCCTCTTCTTCCTCCGACTTCTTCTTCTTCTTCTTCTTCTTCTCGTCCTCCTCCTTCTTCTCCTCTTCCTCCTCCACCTCCTCCTCCTTCTTCTTCTTCTTCTACTTCTTCTTCTTCTTCTTCTTCTCGTCGTCCTCCTCCTTCTTCTCCTTCTTCTCCTCTTCCTCCTCCACCTCCGACTCCTTCTTCTTCTTCTCCTCGTCCTCCTCCTTCTTCTCCTCTTCCTCCTCCACCTCC